TTCTCACTTTCCGACATACCTCTCTTGCCTCAATATCCTTCCTCCGTTTAGATGTTGTACAGTGCTAAAACAAAAGCTCTATTTCAGTACATACATACTGGTTAAAGCGGTCAGGTTTAAATATGATACAAAAGCTCTTAGTTTTAATCTTCAGCAATAAAACATCAGTACAATGATTGTTCCTTTGCATTTGTTGTTCATTTAGGCTCTGGTGTAATTATTAAGGGTTGGTGTTAAACCAGCTGGTTTTTCTGGATGCTGCGTGTAATTACGGATGACAGCAATGTGAAGACACCCAACAGATGCCCGGGGTGAAAAGCACTTTGTGCCAGAAGTGCCGTGGAGGTGTCAGTGTTCTGTTGCACGGGGTTACCTGGCAGCTACACCTGTTGCTGCAAGTGGTACCGTTGTACATGGCCTACAGTTTGGCTTTGATGGGGCAGTAGCCATTTAACTGTAACATCTGATTTAGTTTTTTTCTTCCCCAACGCTGTCGCTGTTCGATGCCAATCCCTTCCGGATTAAGGGAAGTGCCCAGCATGTTCCCTTTTAGAAGTTGGCATTCTGAGCAATAGCAAATGCTGAAAAAACTCTCTGTGCATGTAATCTCTCTCTCTCTTTTTCTGCAATATTTTTTTCCATTTTTTTGTTTGTTGTCAGAATTCTTTAAGTACTTACAACATAGAGGATAAAGAATTGAAATGGCACATTTTGCTATGCAGGATAATTCTGTTTCAGTTAGTGTTCCACACTGAACCCTTCTCATTTATGCTGAATCCATACATGTTCCAGCTTTTGTTATTTGGTGTACGGGGTCTTTTTCCTCCAATCTTGCCCCCTTTGAGGGTTGCTGAGTATTATATGTCACTTTCTTATCTTTTAACTTATGACTTATAATACATACTTAACAGATACTACATAATTAACAGTGTTAAATGTAGTTCCAGACAGTTCATTTAAACATCCATTTTGCAAGTATTTACGAATTTTGTGCAATTTTGCATGCCAAATACTTCTGATTCTTATAACACTTGTCTAAGAGCTTGGAGTTAAGCCTGCAAGTCTTTTCAGTCTTTGAAATTGTAGGCAATATGTTTGTATGTACGTATGAGTCTATAAAAGAAATTATATGCTATTGTTTTCCAAATAACTCAGAGTTACTCTTGGCCGCAATGAAAAGAAGTAGTGACATTACTGGGTATAGTTTTGAGAAGAAATTAGTTCTAAATTTGCCAGTTCTCAAGTACCATCATGAAAAGCCTCAGTGCGCTGCATTTACAGTATTCTCCACGAACACCTGGAAATTATCATGAGCCTTTCCTACTCCTTCTTTTGAAAATGAAAGTTAAATAAATGCATTTGAAAAAGATAAACTGAATAGTATAAAGGGCTGAAGGACTCAAAATCAAAACAGGGAACAGAATGTACATTACATAAAGAAACAGCTTTTACTGAGGAAACGATAACCCTCTGTGACTATTTAGTAGAAATACTGCGAGAAGAAATTGTTGTTTATATTAGAACTTGCTTATAGACTGACTACAGCAAATCCACTTAATTTTCATTTGAACTCCTTTGCTAAGAATAGAAATGCCACGATTGGGCATCCTAATGGTATTTTCTAGATCTATCATATACCACTGTAAGACTTTCTTTTTAAAATACATTTAAAGGCCAGCTTTTTTTAGAATGCTCATATTTTCTAAAGTGTGTCTTGGAAACGCTAGTTGTTTGTATCCCACAAATGTTGGGGGTTTTCTCAAGTACTCCCTATTTTCTGATCGCATTTAGTGATCTCTGCTTTCCTGCTTGCGAACTGTGAGAGAAGTTTGGGGAGAGCAGTGTAGCTCCCTTTCTAAGGAGTTGTCTTCAGACAGTTGAATGAATGTCTCTAGTGTGGCTGTTCAGTATGAGATAAATGGATTTTAATTTAAACATAAGACTATTGTTAGTGCTCCTAAAAATGAGTGGTTCACAGCCCTGGGTATGAGCCAGCACACATGTGACCATCTGCCTCTGAGTCACCTGGGAAAGTCACTGCCCGGTTTTGTGCCTGTGGTCTGCAACAGCGGTGTGAATCGTGCAAGACATGGCAGTGTTTTGCTTGAGGACTGTGGAAAAGCATTCCTTATGTGTTTTTGTTGGGTAACAGTGAACAAGCTAGCTGAACTTAATGTAAACTGAGCGTAAAGCTCACGGGTGAATTAATTTCTCTTGTGACTTGGTCTGCTTTGATGAAAGGCCGGTGTCCAGTCATGCACTGTAATGCCAGATGCTACTCCAGCCCCTCCAAACAAGAACTGCTGCCGACTGATGAGGTGGGGACTCTAAGCGGGCTGTAATGAGAGGTGAGGTAGAGGCAGGGTCACCCTGGGGAGTCACTGCTGTTGGACAGACAGTTCATCTGTGCAGTTCAACACTAAAGCAGGATGCAGTGCGCGGATTGGGCCAAGTGCTAGTCTTTAGTGATAAATGTGGAACAACAGACTGACAGAAGAGACAGTTTTGGGGGAACTGGCTAACAGACCTCCAACGTTGTCCAAGACAGACCAAGAAAACTACATTTCCCTGAACTGTTTGAGCATCCTTCTCACACACAGAGATACTGTTTGTGTGGAAGTGGTGTTGATAAGTGAGGCCTGCCGTTTAATCTGATAATTTCAGGATTGGTGTATTGCTTGTAGCTGTTTTCAAGTCATTCAGTGCATTTCTGAAAACTGTTTTGTTGTTTTATTTTAACTGTAAGTATTGTAAGTGAAAAATGGAATTTTATAAAAGTATTAAATATAGAACTGAAAGTACTACAGTAAAATTAGTTTTAAGGCTTTGTTGGTAAAAACAACATGATATTGTGTTTATCTAGCCAAATCAAGAAGAGGATTTTTATCTGTAAAATCACAGGTGCTTTATCTGTGAAGAATTACACTTAAGATGAAAAAAGGAGAAAAGCGGTATTGTAGACTGATTATCATATGAAGTGTGAACTGTGCACTCTCAGAACATCTTGTTCATTTCATATAAGCAGATAACTTTTTGGGAACCCTTTCTAGGAGAGTGGGATTTTAACTTTCTCACATCCAGGCTGCATACGTTAGCAAATTCTACAGTCTGGAAGATAACCAAAAGAACAGTTCTGTGTTAATATAGAATTATTTCCTATAATAATAACTTTTTAAAGATTTCCAGCAGCTTTGTAAAGTCAATAAATAATTTAGAAGCTGGAAATAAAGAGTCTTTGGTAGGATTTCCAACTACTTGTTACGTATTCTCTGTCGAAGACAGTCTTTCTCTCTAGGGGCTGTGGTATTTATTAGACATCAGAGTTTTCCTTAATGCATAAAAATAAACATAATTGACAACATAAAAATAAAAATAATTGATAACTATTTGGTACTTCTTATCTCTTTCTTGAAGGGATTATCTCTTATCTCTTTCTAGAGCCATTGCTTTTTGATTGTTCTTTGGCATAAATAAAAGGGGCAGCTTTGTGTATAAGTCAATGTTTATTTACTGAGAACTCACTTAGAATAGAAAAGTAATGCCATTCTGGCCATCCTGTGTCATCTTAGGGTGAAAACCCACTCTGAGTACAAAGTTTTTGTAAGATTAATTTGAATTTTGTAAGATGAATTTGCTATGGGTTTTAGCCCTTGCTGTAAAGTGAGAGAAATTGATCTCAATTCATGGGTCTGTTCTCTGTGTTTTCCCAGGATATCCATCCACTGGCTTAGTTTAAGACCATTTTCTAGGAATTCCTAAATCAATACCTTTTAATTTTACAACCCTCAAAAATAGGGTTTATTTCAGTGTTTGTAAAAGAATTTGAGTCTTTTAGAGAATTGTATTGTTCTCGGACTTTTAATTTTCTTTGTGTTATTGTTAAATACTGTACTGTTGCTTGGGCAACTCATTCATGTGCAGAAAAGCTTGCCACAGACCAAAGCTGGCATCTTTAGGCCATCGTAATGATTCAGGGTAGCTGAAATTCAGAGAATGACAAGCGTTAAATACATTTCAAAGTGTTATATGCACTGAAGTAGTGAATGCATAGATTCAGTTGGCAATGGATGACTGAATGTGGTCCCCTCCAAATCTGATATTCTATTTTGCAGAGATGAAGTGGCTCAGGGAATGCTTGTAAAATCTGTCTTTCATTAACAACCGTGTACTGTTCTTCATTGCTAATTCATCCTCAGCTTTTGCTTAATGCATACAGAATACTCTGGAGGTGTTAGTGATACTTCTCAAAATAAAGCCTTGGGAAAAAAGACCCAATGCACTCTGGAGGATTTTTTTTTTCCAAAAGTTTTCATTCTGAGACATATCAACTTCATTTTTTACTTCCTCTACCATTAAATCTCATATAGAATTGAACAGGAATTGGTTAAGAGGAACAACTTCCTTCCCTTGAACATTTTTCTGAAAGTGTATTAGTATCAAAGTGGATTATTAGAGCCTGAAGCTCAGATCTTAATCGGGAATTCTACAGAGTAATCAGTTCTGGATGGAATTTTTGTTCTGCTTGATAACATGTATTTGTGCTCAGCTTTCTTGCACTTGTGTCAGCACTTTCTGAGTGTATGGGATCAGGGGATGTTGAGATTTTTTGGTGGATTTTTTTTTTCCCCCTGAAGATCAAATGAGATGAGAGTCTGAGCTGTTTGGAGAATCTAACTGTGTAATTACTTTTAAAGAGGTTGTCAATGTGCTTGATAGTGATAAAGCACAGAAGACTTACTCCCAGCTTAGCGTGAATTTACAGATAAAGGTTTAGAACAAATAGAAGTTCCTGTACTAGGCAATGAAAACCCGTGCCCTTTAGTAATTGATGCTAAAAAAGAAAAAAATTACCCACATCATAGGGAAGTTATCTTGCACTGCTAGCTAGAGGGCATTATTTTTATTTTTGGAGCGTATCTACTTATTTATTGCATTTGAGTTTTCCCATATTTGTGTCTGATACAGCCAGTGCTTATTGTTTTTTCCTCTGTTTCAGCACCCAAAGACAATGAAGAACGTGTGTTCCGGGAACGTATGCGCCCCAGAAAGCGGCAGGGTGCTGTGCGACGCAGAGTACATCAGGTTAATGGACACAAGTTTATGGCCACCTATCTTAGACAACCAACATACTGTTCGCACTGCAGAGATTTTATATGGTATGACTTTGCTTTCTTTGAAACTTTGTATTGAAGAGTTAACATACCCTCCTGTTTTGCTGAAGTATAAATGGTGTAGAGTAGTAGTTTTTTTCTTCTTCATTTTAATATTAAGCTGTCATCAGTTTTGCAGACAATAATAGAAGGCTGTTAAACTTCCATCACAAATGTTAGAATTTGTTGTATTTGTGTTTTTTCTCCCCTGAGCCACAAAGTTCAATCTTTTCCTGTCTAGTACACATTATAAATTCTAGGTAGGCAGCCAGTCTCATGTTCTGTAGATTCCTAAGTGTAGATTTAGACCTAATATTAGATCTTTACATTTTGCCAAGATGACTGAGTTCTTCTTTAGGTGCTTAAGTATCACCATTTTCATCCTAGGAAATGCCAAGTTCCTATACATCCTACTGAAGTTAATGAAATGCAAGAATATTAGACTTCTAATAAGCCAGGGTTTTGGGTGCTCAGTGTACAGGACCTTTCTTATTACAGTGTATATCAAGAACTCTTTTTTTAGAAATTATTTACATTAGTTTTGAACTCGCAATTTTCAGATAGGGAAAAGTGGTGGAGACATTCAGTTTTCAGTTATTTTTCAGCAACTCTATTGATGTTTTCCAAAGTCACCTAGAGATACTGATTTGCACCTTAATACACATAAGGTCTGATGTGATCCATAATTAATATTTCTTAAGAGTGTGTAATGAATCAGTCTTTCTTAATGTGAAACGACGTGAATTGTACATGAACTCAAGTACATTCCTCTAAGAAATGTCTGCAGGTTAGGGTTTAGGTTAGCTAAGATGATTTCAAGAAACAGTATTGGCAAATGCAATCTTCTGTCTTTTTAGAGGCCTGCTTGATAACTATTTTACCAGCTTGTGGCTTCCCTCTCTATGTACCCTTTGGCTTTGCCTATTTTATTATAGTAAATGTGTCTTTACTTCTGAATCCCTTCATGGCCTATCTTCCTCCTTGTTGCCTCTTAGCAACTGAAATGTGGCTCCTACTTTGAATTGATCTCAGTCTAGGCATGCAGTTATCAGATGATTGGTTATAAGAAGCTATTCTTTTAAACTTGTGCATGTCCAGTAAAGAGAGGAGAAAATGTTTTTCATTTTTAAAAATATATATTCTTCATTTTCTAAAACACTGTTTTATTTTCAGGGGTGTAATAGGAAAACAGGGATACCAATGTCAAGGTAAGAGAAAATCTACAGGGGGACAGTTTGAATATATGTATTATGTTATAATATATAAATAATAAGATACTTTCATCAAGCATTGTATATGTGCAGTGTTAAGAATTTAGTACAAGATGATCAGAATAAGTTTGTCTCACCAAAGACACAGTCTTTACAGTAAGTCACAGTAAGATTTTTCGAAACTGTTGGTCTTAGGCAGCATATACGAGGTGGGGCACAGTTAACATCACTGAACAGCAGATCCTAGGTATCTCTTGATGCACATCCAACTAGGGGGGCATATCTGCGGATGTTGGCTTCTTCATTTTCACTTCTTGCATTTTAAAATTGTGAATTCTTTATTCTGCTTAAGATTCTTTGTTTAAAAATGCCAGGTAATTGCAAAGACTGTAATTAAATAGATGAGATAATTATAGAGGTCATCATTAGAGAAGGTTATAGCAAAGACTGCAGAAGTGCTTCATTTTCAGCTCCCATTTTGCAACTCAATTTCTTGTACTCTTAATTTCTTATGCAGTGACCTCTTGGGATGATGTTTTTCTGCTTAATTCTCATCTGACAAGTAGAAATAATCAAGTTAGTGATGATTTTTCAGTTACAAAAGACTTGATGAAATGTCATTGTAAATAAATAAATGCTATTTTACATGCTATAATAAGAATCACTGTATTAACATAGAGCAGAGGTTCCTTGAGTTCTGATTTTTTTTTTCTTACAACAATGACCAAAGCTAGAAGAAAATGAAATTAATGAGGGTTTTTTCCTTCACTTAAATGACCTTGAATCCCACGGTACAATAGACCTTGCAATTTTTAATCTTATCTGTCATATCTGCAAATGTTATTCATTGATAAAGTAATCAGTATGAATATTGACAAAGCATTTTTGCCTCCTGAAACCTTTTACTATTATCAATTTATGATAATGTGTTACAGAAAGAATGTTCAACTTTGTTTTTTCTGTTCTTTGACTTTTACAATGAGTTATCTTTATGTCCCTTTTCCTCTGGAAGCTCTTCAGACAGGAATTGTTGTTGCCATTGTGTCTCATACAATGTGGAGATCATGGAGTTTATCAGATAAAGAAATCAAATATGTAAAAATTGAGAAAAATTGTGGTTAATATTTCAGAAGGTAATTTGTGGTTTTACATCCTGAGATTTTGACAGATATGCTTTAGTTCTCTTAAAATTCATTGGCCTCTTGAAAGTGCATTATCTTCTGCCTTTGTAAGCCAGACTTAGACTTCATAGGACTCACCAAGTCACCAGTCACTTGCAGTCTTTCAAGTCCCAGCATTTCTGGTCTTCCGAGATCAGTCTTTTGCTTTAAAATCAATCTTCATGAAAACTCATTCTTTTATCTGTTTTTTGTTTGTAGTTTGCACTTGTGTAGTCCACAAGAGATGCCATGAACTTATAATAACGAAGTGTGCTGGCTTAAAAAAACAGGAAACTCACGATGAGGTAAATGTTTATAAAATAAATGTTCTAGATAAAACTCTGTCTTTCATCTGTTCAAAGTAGTGTCCTCTCCTCTGTTTAATCAATAAATGTTATAGACTTTTTGGTGCCCTTCTGGTCGTCTTGTGATGTAGCATTTACTTTGGAATGACAGATTACCATAACAGTTTCATCTACATGGGAATTATTATACACCAATTTATTCCTAATTAGTGAACTTTTTATAACATCTGAATGCTTAAAGTCTCAGTGAGCTCTTTCCACTCCTTTTCATTTTTAATATTCTCCATTTTTGAGTTAATACAAGTTTTGTCATTTTAATTCAAAAGAAGCAGGATGTGACCCTTTATCCCTTAACTCCATTTTGTGTGGCTTAGTCAATTAGCAGCTGATAGGATAGGCAGTATGCCTGGGTATATTGCGTCAACTTAAAAGACTGCCCAGAATTTGCTTGCAAAGTCTCACCTCAACAAAGACTGCATCCAAACTGTCAAAGTGTAGAACAAAAGCCATCCGTGTGTTGAAGAAGGCCCGTGGATATTGTATAAGATGGTAGTGATAACACAAGGTACTGCATAGCTAAAGGTTTTCCAGCATAATTACTCCCTACCTCTAGCAAGCTTTTGTGTATTAATGGAATTAACACAATATGTGCGTCATGTTATCACACATTTAAATAAATGAAGACATCACCTGAAAATGAAATTAGCTGCCTTCAGAACTACTGTCAGGGAGGTAAATATATCTGCCAATGGCACGTTGAGCTCTGGATCAGAACAGAAAACAAAGCAATCCTTTCACGTGGGTTAAAGGTCTCTCTCAGCTAAGGTGACCCTTTTAGGCTTGGTTAGGAAATTAATGTTAATTTCTGTGGACGGTCATATACCAGGGAGCAATGTGACTGCTGTTGTGTTCAGCTCCCTTAGACTCCTTGGCTTTGGGCTATTCTTTTATGGCTGGGTTGATAGGGGACAGTTGGGGAGGGGAGTGCATTTATGGTTTTTTAAACAGTTGTAGCCCTCAGCTGTAACCAGTGAATGCTTTATCTTATACAGAAGTTTTGTGTTTGTTTGTGTTTTAACAGAAAAGCTAATGAATGCTCACTGTCCTGTTCTGTTTAGTGCAACAGCAAGGGCCTATACTATCTTTCACCTTAGGATTAGGTGAGGTAGTCTGTGGGTGATCCCAGTTCCTTGGCCACACAGAAAAAGTACATTTCTTAGTTTTATTTGTTAAAACCCTACATTTATATGCTTGAAAAAGCCTAGGTTTAAATTACAAATCAGAATTGTGCATAACAATGGTTTTAAGCCACTCTTTCAACTTTGATACGAATTTGACTGAGACACTAACTGATCTTATTCTTCCTGTGCAATTCACTACCATTTTTCATACTGCAAGCATTCTTTAATGTCTGGTTCACAACCAGTATTTTACATCCAAAACTTGATTGCTTGCATAGGACTGTGATAAAGGACTGTGTTTGGCTAGTGTTGTTTTTGCATAGTACTCACAGGAAGATACAAAATCTTGCGTAGATTTATATTCCCAGGCTCCAGACTGGTGGAGACTTTATGCTTTGCTGATATAATGCTCTCATTGTTTAGAAGGGATACTAGATCGCTGGAGAGAAGCCAGTGGTAATAGGAAAGGGAAGGAAAAACATAAAAATAAATCTCCTGCTATGCAGTGGCCCCTATAAAAACTTACCAATGATATCCTTTAATTAGTAAGTAATCGTACCTTGGAATCCCTGAACACAACAAATTATCATTGTCATTTTCATAATCTGAAGAAGAGTGGGATATGAAAAGGTAAAGGGGTTGTGATACGTTTCTCTTTCTTAGTCCTGTATTAGTTCGGCCTCCTGCTCCTAAACAGTTGGGAGTGACTTCCTTGCCTTCCACACATTAAGAGATCTTTCCTGATAGCTATATATTTGTTGTTCCCAGAAGTACTAGGAAGTAGCCTTTAGTCTTTATCTCTTGGACAACAGCAGCTCTTTCCCCTCTTTTCCCCAAATAAAGTAGTGAGAAGAACTCTGGAGTTGGAGTATATCTAATGCAAAGATCATCATCTGAGCACAGAACTATTTCATCTTGTTTGAATTCTGTGTGATTTCAAAAACATAACAGGGCCTCGGCGTACACTGATTATAAAGATGTTAATTAGAATGAAATATTCTGTGCTCTCCTTTTCCAGCAAGTGGGATCCCAGCGTTTCAGTGTCAACATGCCTCACAAGTTCAGCATTCACAATTACAAAGTGCCCACCTTCTGTGACCACTGTGGTTCATTGCTCTGGGGTCTTTTGAGACAAGGTTTACAATGCAAAGGTAAGGATTACCACTTCAGAGCTTTTCTTTTTCGTTGTGAGTGCAGTAGACTTGGAAAGACTTCAAGTTATTCTGTCTTTTCCAGCATGTACAGAAATTAATAGAAAGTAAATAGCGGACTGCTGTAGGGATTGCCATCATGGTTAGAAAATGGTCCTTTACCCTGTCTGCAACACTAGTCAGTAACAGATGCGAGGACAGAAGTGCAGAAACACATTTTGCACTTGCTGTTGTGTAGGTTTATTGCCACATAGGAAATTAGAAGTTGACAGCAGATTAGGAGCATGAGAATTTACATCCCTTCAGCTTATACACCTTTTGTGTTTTCAGGTTTGTGGTGATGGTTAAATCATCCTAAAATCAGCTAAATCATCCTTTGTGATGGTCTGCGTAGCCCCTCTATTCCAGAAAATAAAGGATTCATTATGTTCTGCAGCTTAAGGACTGTGTACTCCGTACAGTAACTGTATACAAAGTTACTGCTGGAAGGTGCATTCATGTCATTATAGCTGACTAACAGAAATGGTTGATGACTAACAGAAATGGTTGGTTCCATATCTCCTTGTTTCAAGCAGATCTATATATTCTAGAAGGGGGAGAAAGCAGTACAAACACTTGCAAAGGAAAGTAATATTTTAGAAATAGTGAATAAAGTACTTCAATTAGTGGATTGATGGTAATGATGTCATGAAGATTGTCAGATTCTTAGAAAGTAGTACTTAATGAAATTATAAGCATTTTCATTTTGTTACACCTTTACGAATGGGTAGGTCCATCTTTATAAATACAAAAATTATGTTATGTAAACTTCTCAACAGCAGAAACGTGGAGTCAGTCACATATGTATAAACTTGTAATCTCTTAAATATATGCTTCGCAGTATTTAAGATGAGACATAAGTATAGGTGGAGGACAGACCTAATGCTTCATGTCACAAATTGCTAAGCAGCAAGGGAAAGAAGAAAATTCTTTCATGGCAAAGTGATACACAGTGAGAGCGTTCTGAAGTTCAAGCCTTCCCTTGTGATTTTAGCTAGTGAGCAGTGATAAGATGTTAGACTCTAAATATCGTGACTTTACTACTATTAAAGATTTTGTTCAAATGATATCTTAATTATGGCAGCGATATGTTCAGAGGAGATTTTTCAATTAAAACTGATTTTTTTTCTCTTTGATTTTTTATCAGAGCTATAGTATCTTTCCACTTAATCTGTGAATATATTAGTTCGCTTTCATATTCTCTCTCAAGTACCATAGTGGTTCATTTCCTCTTAACTGTAGAAAATAATGTTATTTCTCATATGTATGCATTTACTGTGTAGCAGATGCATAGAAACAATAGTTCAGAGAGCCTATGTTGCTTTCTCCATGTTCATAAAATCGGTGCCTTTAATAATGCAGTATTGTCTGCATGAAATCTAGAACTCACCTGAGCTGTAAATGTCATTTTCTCCGTGCTTTGTTTTCTCTCTTAACAAGTGCCAAACAATGCTCCTTTCTTCACAGATGTACTGTGTACAGACGTACAGATGTGCCCAGTGTGGTTATTGACACCATGAGAGGTTTATTCTTCTTCTGTTTTTTCACTGCTTATTCCTGTGCTTCTTTTTACAAAATATGTTCATGAAGGTGGACTGTATAAAATTCTGCTGCTTGCTTTATTTCAAGCAGTTCAGTTCCTCAGTGTCCACTGTTATGGATCCTAGGTCAAACATTTTACTTGCCACTGAGCTTTTGTCACCAAATATACATGCACTGAAAATACCATGTGTAGCAATTGCTTTTTGCTCTTCTTGTGAGCTGAACCATACTTGAAAAGGAAAAGCACCTGCTTTCTGAAGCGCATGTTTTCTACTGCAGATACAGTGCCTGTGTATAGTCTCAGAGGCAAATGTGGTTTGTTTCTTTGAGGCTTATATGGTGAAAACATTGTTGATGAACAATATAATGAAATGCAGCTTTATAAATACATGCTTTTTTGATTTTTTTTTTCTCTAAAAAGTAATGAAGTGAGGAATTTGAGCAGTTGAATGTTAATCTAGTATTTAATTACACTTGGAGTTTTGCTTTCTTTACGCCTTGCTCCACAAGAGGGCAGTGAAGTCTAAGATAAAATACGTCATCTGCTCTTAACAAATCCATACTATGCTATTTTTAATGGACGTGTGTTCTCCCCCTACTGCATAACCTGGAAGTAATGTAATCTTTTTTTCCTCTTACTAGTATGCTAGTTTCAGGAGATGGTATTTAAGAGAAAGAGCTTAGTAAATGGATTTTCATCTAAAGAAAGAGAGTGTCTAACAGTGCCAGAGATTTTTATTAGAACTTAAAACACTGTTGGTTTTATGCTAGACTACATTAGGTGTTAATCTACTTGAGTAAAATAGAATAAGAAGCAATAATACACGAAGAACTGATGTTGCGCTCTCAGTATAAGAGCAGAAGTGGAATCCAAGCTCTGAAGGACTTTTCTTCTAATTCAAATTCTATTTAAGATTTACAGGATCATTGGATGTTTTCATTTGTTCCTGTGTCTGTTGTGGGTACTGTGTGAAAGCGCTGTTCTGCATTATTATAGCAGAAGAATGATAACCAGGTTAATAATTTTATATTAGCATTCAAAAGTGTCACTGCAAATCCAGCTAAGTATTTTTCTACTGAAGTTGTATTTATTTGAAAAAGTTATTGGTAGATCCAATAAGGTCTGATTTAAGTAAGACAAATGCGTGCCAAGGTAGTATTTAATTTACTCTCTTACTTTACATTTCATCGCAGTTTGCAAGATGAATGTACATCGACGCTGTGAAACAAATGTGGCACCAAACTGTGGAGTGGATGCTAGAGGCATAGCTAAAGTTCTTGCAGATCTTGGAGTCACTCCAGATAAGATCACGAATAGTGGGCAGAGGAGGAAAAAGGTAATTTTAGTATGTAGTATAACATAAGAAGTGAGATAAGTATGGCTGTATTGTAACTTTACTAGTTGGGGTTCAATCGCACTCACTTGGCTTGCACAGGAATTTTTTTTAAGTCAGTACAGAACTAAGACTTTGGCTTTTGATTTATAAGTGCAAATCATCTATTCTGAATTTTTATATGAAATTTATTTTGACCTGCTACAATTTTGCAAACCTGGAGTCTGTATAGAGTCTGGAAGGATTTCCCCTTTTTAATTTAGAGGAAGGAGATTTGACAGTGTCATAAAAACATAAATGTCTCTTTGTCTTAGAATTGGCATTGGATAATTGATTGATTGAGACACAGCACTACTCCATAACATTGTAAATGCTGATAAATGAGCCAATGTGCTGACCCTCATGAAGAGGAGCTGTTTGCCAAATGACAGTTCCAGAGTTATCATCACTATTATAGGAAGAACTAGGCTGTTCTAGAAGGAAAAAGCATAGGTCACCCCAAGTACATCCAAAGCTGATGGACTTATTCTGGATTTGTAATATATATCCTGGATGAGAATTTGGCCACACTTTCTGTCTCTTTTTGCATGATTGTGACAACAGGCAAATTTTACCATAATTTCTTAAAACATTGACATTTGATTCTGTTCATTTTCCTGGGTATTGCACACTTGTATCCTGTGTACACTGTTTTAAAATGTTACAGAAACATAGAAAACTCAGGAATAATTTAATTGATCTGTGACTCCTGGAAAAAGATGTTGTCATGTTGTTACTGCATGAGTTAATTTGCAGTGCCTGCTGATGCTTGTTGTAGTTAAATGTATTTATCGGGTAGATTTCTATACAGGCTTAAGGTGGCTGTTCAAAACTTTCCCACTCACTGGGTATGCTCATTACCATGTTTTACCATGTTTATTTCATCTTAAGAGCCTATTTTTCTTTAAATGGCCGGTTCTTTCTCTGCTTGTATTATGGTCTCCATTTGATGTGATGCCATCTACTGTATCGTTGAGGTCCTGCCAGTGAGAATCTATAGGGGCAGAACATCTTCACTTTCCTTCATACTTCCACTTGCGAATTAATGTTGTTAAATTAAATTTCCTCTTGACATGGGAGGATCTCATAGCTGAGTACCCTTTTTGGAATTGTTCTTAGCTAATTGCAGGTGCAGAGACTCAACAACCAGTTCCTGGAAGCGCATCCTCAGAAGAAGATAGGTCAAAGTCAGCACCAACTTCTCCATGTGATCAAGGTCGAACATCCCTTTTTATTTCCTAACTGATATATATTGTCACATATTTTCCTTCTTTATGAGGAGTAAAAAAACCTATCACCCCCCGCCTTAGTAGAACCAAATCAAGGAAGTAGTTACTACCAGAAAATGAAGCACTTAAGATAAGTTATGAACTGCAAAAACTTTTTTAAAATGCCTACTTCTCATTTTGTTTAAATCTGTGAAATTAAGTGGCTTTTAAAGGGAAAATTATAAACCAGTCATCTTAAAATATTAAGTTTACTTGCCTAACCAAATACCTTTAATATAAGGAGGTTATATATTGTATTGTAAGAGTGAGAACATTTTAAATAGTACCACAGAACTTGAGAGAGCTTTTATCTATCTGAAAAGCCTCTATCTGTTAATAAGTTTTTGAGATAAAATTGCCTCCTTGCAATTCCATGTTGAACATTTGTGATAATAAAAACTTCCGTCCAGTTAGGCTATGCTGGCGTGTCTCAGTGGTTTCTAGAGGCTTCACAAAGCCATGTTTCCTCTCAGTGATTTTTTTCATGCATAGATTTGGAGACAGATATTTTAATCTTCACTGATATGATCTGATTTCATTGAGCTGAACAGCCTGATTGACAGAACGTGTGTGTCAGCAGCACTTTTTGAATCTGATCTGATTGATGATTTTAAAAATCAGAAGTCTGTGAGGTATCTTGTTACCGTTGTGTGTGTAAACTGATAAATGAAAAATCTTTACATTAAGAAATAGGAAGACGTATACTTTTGTGTCAAATTCTTTGAAAATTATTTACAGTAGAGATATTTCTCACCTTTATTTTTAGGGAAGAGACTTCCAAAGCTCCATGGTAATAAGTACTGTAAGACTCTGAGCCCAGAACTGGTTGAAATTTGTCAACCTTTTTGTTTCACAGACACCATTTTGGTTAAATAATGTTTTTTAAATATCTGATGTTTTGCTTAAAATAAGAACGAAGAATTTTTCTAAATTCTCTCTTAAATTTCACTTTTGTAGCTGTCCAGTAAAGTTGTTGCTTCCAAGGCCATCAGGCAGAAGTACTATGCAAGATCTGAAGTCCGTTAGTCACCAGGACTCACTGAGTTTTAGCATTGAGAAACCTTCAGAACCATTTAGCAGATCTACACAATTGCTGCTTGAAGCGGCACTAGGAAGTGGTCAAATACTTTATTGGCAGGCGTCTGATAACAGCTGGAGCTGAGTAAGATGCTCCATTCATGTTGACTTCAGGGACTGGGACACCCAACTATCCTTTGAACTTTTGAAGATACAACTCTAAAATACTGAAGCAGGAAGATGAGTAAGTGCTGCAGGAAGATAGGGGTATTCAAAACAAGTACTTGTCTGTGGTACAGGAACACCCAAAATCACTAAAACAACTATTTGGCCACTATTCTGACTTTATCTGTCAATTTTGGATATGTCATTCTCTTAGGTTCATTTTAAAAGGCTATCCTTCCTGTTAGAGCAGGATTTTGGCTGATTACTGTAAGGTGGAGAAGCAGTTTGTTAAATATGTATTCTTAACCACAGAATGCTCTACGCAGCATTCAGGGATGATGAATGTCCCTTCCCAAAACTGATATAGACTAACACAGGCTGTTTTTCTGATGTTTAGTTAGAACAAATGCATTTTCTCGCATTTCCACAGAAATCAAAGAGCTGGAAAACAACATTAGGAAAGCGTTATCATTTGACAATCGGGGAGAGGAACACAGGGCAACTGCTACAACGTCAACAGACAACCAGCTTAACAAACCTGGGGAGAATGGAGAAAATGGGGAGGTCAAACAGGCCCAGACCAAGCGAATAGGCCTTGAAGAGTTCAACTTCATCAAAGTATTAGGGAAAGGCAGCTTTGGCAAGGTAGGTAGCTTTGTTTTTTTTTTTTTACAGGTGTTGCAGGCTTTTTTTGACTGTACTGCTTTTAAAGTGTTCGTAGTGACATTCAGAAAGTCCTTCCACCCCAGGGGTTTGCTTCTATTCTTTACCCATTGAGTAAAAGCAGCTTTTACCCCACAGATCAGGAATATCAGCCTCCTGATCAGATGGCATCTTCTGTGCTTTAGCTCACTTCATTAACAAGAGTCAAGCCTTTTGAAACAATGTCAATGTTTCACTATTTCAGGATATGAAATGAAGACTTGCATACAGTTACATACATACTGTTGAACAAGATAATCAGTTGTGGTCAAGCAGGACAAATCAGCCCAGGAATAATGCTGTGGAGTTCTGCGTTCATTCCCTTTCTAGATAATACCCGGTTCAAGTTTACTTATTTCACAGAACAGTTTGTGTGCTTGTTTTTCCTCAGTGGGTGTGTTCAGTGCTGGAGGAAGCAGAACTCAAGCATTTCCACTGAGATACGACTGGTGCAAGAGGCTTAGACAGCTGCCCAAAATACCATGTATGCGGCAAAGGTGTAACTCACCAGATACCTTCCCACAGAGGGAATTGATGAAGGTGGAAGGAGCATTGCTGTATTTACAGGGCTTATAGATTTTTCTTTACACGGTGCCGTGCACCATGGAATCAAAGAGGAGGACTAAAATGAATCCATTTCACAAGTACACTCTTCCTTCCTTGATATATGGGAACTGCAGATGCAGAGGGACAGGGCTGAAGCAGTTCTTTGTCTCCCTGTTTTCTAATCCTTTCTCTGAAGATTACCCTGGCTCCAAGCCAGAACTGACCTTAAACAGAGTGTAGGACTTGAACCTTAAACAATAGAAGTAGTTAAAATCAACAACTTTAAAGCAGCCAGAATGGTACGTGAGATTGTATACCAAGTTCATCATACACAAATCTCACTACCAGAAGTGGGAGATAAAAGTGGGAAATAAATTTCTGTTCTATATCAACTTACTTCCTTTTTTAGTTTTTGAGATCTCATTAAGATATTTGAATGAGGGGATAAAAAATATTTATCTTCTGCATTCTTAACTAACAAACAAAATAGATATGGTCTGTTTCAAATGTAAAGAATACCAGAGGTATCTTTTTCTAAAATTACATTACTTTACTTTTAATTTTATAAACATAGAACTTCATTCAGGCAAATATGTAACTGTCTTCATATTTCCAGTGCAGTCAAACTCATATGCAACCCTGCATTTATGGTATCTGTTGTTCATAAGTAAACAGAATTTCTGTTTGTTTTAGGTAATGTTAGCTGAGCTAAAAGGAAAAGATGAAGTATATGCAGTGAAAGTCTTGAAGAAAGATGTCATACTTCAAGATGATGATGTAGACTGTACAATGACAGAAAAGAGAATTCTGGCATTAGCACGGAAACATCCATACCTAACACAACTTTACTGCTGCTTCCAGACAAAGGTAAGCTACGTGAACCTTTTACCAGTTTTTGCCCAAGGAACAATATTCACTCTTCCCAGAATAAAAGACAGCAACATAAAAAGTACAGCAATATTTCGAAAATATTTCTGAGAAGTTTCTGGCATTTCAGCATTTCAGTAGTATTGAACAGGAGTACTGGCTGCTGTTAAATAGCGTAAATACTATTACCTTGTAAGTACCAGGAGATGGCAGTAAATGAGTTAAAAAATTTTTTAAAAACCACATGCATAAAACACAAAAAAACTACTGAGGTGCCATTTTCTGGGTTTCTTCTGTACAAGAATATGGTGTATCGTTTGTTGAATTAAGTACAAATGTTTTTAACATTCAGTATTCAGAGTGAAAATTCTAAAATGATCTTGTCAGAAATGAGATTATGGCAGAACACTCATCTTTTCAGTTTTCTTGTGCTGTGTAGTATACAAAATGTTCGAAAGAGAAAGGAAATAGGTGTGCTGCTTATCAAGTAAGTTCCTATAGGGCTAATGCCTCCCATGTACTTGAGGAGCAGGGAGAAGGAAAGGCAGAGAGAGATGATAATGAGAGCCTGTTCCCATGTCATGTTCCTTGTTGGTAATTTTTCATATAGAATTCCTCCTCATAGCACGTGTTTTGGATTTGCTGCTTAAATGTCAGTGAACGTTTGGATGGGTTAGCTGACTCTCTAGGATTTCTGAATCCAGTCAGTCTAAGTGCTTGAAACCAGTTGTGTTCACAGAATATTTCTGGTCTTCATTTTTTAGTCCCTTATTTCTCTCTTGTCATTCAGCTGAGCTGACAGTTTTTTACCTGATTGTCCAGAAAGCTTTATGGACAAAAGAATCCCCACAAGGTGGATCTGTCTTCTATCTTCTATCTGTAGATAGAATACCAATCATATATAATTTAATTTACAGAAGCATCTGTTATTTTCAAAGTGCCTGATAAAATGTTTACTATTTCAAAACACTAAGGTTTGAACTTTTGCCTGTTGAACTAAATACGCTATTCATTTCAATGGGATGAGTTTTTGACCTGTAGGGAATAAGTTTAGATGTTAGTATATATGTATGTTTTAAATAAAACACTTGAAAATCAATCAGCTTCCTTCAAACTTTTGGGTTTTTGTTTTTGTTTTTTTTAGTAAGAAACTACATTGGAATATTTGAGGCAATTTAATGGAAAAGTTTGGCAGATTAAATGAATAATTAAATTAGCATATTGAAAGGAATTGAGTGTGTGTATGAGTGTATGTGTGTGCGTGTGTAAATACCTACATATTCACATATAACCGAAACTATGTATGGCACAAATGAGCAATTGAAATAATTGTATGTGTATAATCACAGAAAAGCTGTGACTAAAAGATCTTCCAGCAAAGTTGTCAGGAAAGATAAATAGGGCAGTGGGAAAGCCATAGGAAAATGGCTAGTTAGGATCAAGATTATAGTGTGTTCAAATATGCAGGTAGCAAATATGGTTTTATGTTTATATGGTTCTTAAAACAGTGTGAAAATGCATTAGAGTTTTATATACTTTGAAGTTGACACAAAAAAATAGCCCAGGAAGGTGTGTTTACAAGTTATGTCTACAGAGGATGTTTCACGCATTCAGACTTTCATTTCATTTGAATATATGTGTGAACATACTCTTTAAAATGTTTTAACATGTTATTTTAAAATCTGTAACTAGAATCGAGCATATTATTTCAGATGAAGAAAGTGATTAAAAGATTGTGCAGGGGTGAGGGATAAGCTCTGTGAGCAGAGAGGGACCTTCAAGACTAAAGCAGATTGCACTCCCTGAAGTGTAAAGAAATGTATCACCAGCCTGATGTGAATTATGTGGCAGAACATTGGTAAAGATCAGTTTTACATTAAGTGAATTATGGCAGAAGGTTCTCCTGCTACTTCTCTGGTTTTCTGGAGATTTTTTTTCTTTTGTATTTCTCATCTGTTCTCCCCTCTTTTGTATCGTGCTTTCTGCCTTCCTCCCTGCTCTCCAAAGCCATTCCTCAAAGATATGCAGAAATTCTTCTCACCATCTTCTCTCTTCCCAGATCTCTTGACCAGAGAGAAACTATAGTTTGTGGCTTTGCTTGAACTCAGAGGAACTGACAGTTATGTGATTTATAGTTACAAGTCATAGACTAGTGACTCTTACCAAACAACCAAAACTGTATCTAGTGATACCCAATCAAATTGAAAGTCCACAGTTGAAAAATTGAAGGGTTTTTTTGAGCATGGCCGATGAACAATTTGCAAAGAACTCTTTATAAAGAAACGAAAAACCAAAACATATGTAAGAGCAAAAGCAATGCATCTGCTAAAGCTGTAAGTTATTTATGAATGACAACAAATTAAAATGTACCAAGTAAATTAGTCACTGAACGATTTGCTCAGATTCAGTGGAAAAACAGGTAGAAAAACTTGCTCAAACAAACATGGTCTTTGGTTAAAATAGCTTTACTGAGACAAAGGCTATTGTACAACAGAGTTTAAAATGTGTTTAACAGTAGTGTCTAGTTACTTACGCTGCAGTTGTATGCCGTGCCATGGCTTCTGTACTTTGCAGAACTGGTCCCTGAAGTGATCATGCTGGAATTAAAATTTACATTTCAAGTAGAGCATATTTGTCGTATACACCCTGACTTAGTGGGAAGATTGACTCAGTATTCATTGTCAAAGCACTCAGGGGTTGGCTTTATGTAATGACATTACTTGCTTTGTTCCACTTCCACAAAAATGTGAATGTATGAGTTTGACTGTATATATTGCAGTGTTTTCCTTCAGTAATAAGCTGAAGACACTGCAGAAAAGTTGCCTAATAGGCTTTTTACAGTAAGTATTCTTCAGTATTATTTGTTTTTTACATGAAGCAGACTTTTCATTAGTGTAATTTACTAAATGATACTATTATTATCACAAGAAGTACGGGATGATATTTATAATTATCTTCGAATTCAGAAATCATGCCGAATAATGTCTAATAACAGCATTCCTTATACAGTAATGTGTTTTAGCCCTACATATGTGAATTTACTTTTAGCAGTCCCATCTAGCTTCCTTATTTTAAAAGAATATTCTCGGGAATGGTATTTCTCATGTTCCTTCTTAATCCAAAAGCTAATTTTGATCAAACCAGTTTGCTTTAAGCTCATCAAAAAATGAGCCCCCCCCCAAATCAACATTCTATATTAAAATTACATATATTAAAATATTGTACTTCAGGAAATTGTTTTGTGGTCTTCTGCGGTGACCTGGAAGTCAAGAGAGCTGGGTTCTGTTTCAAAGCTTGGGATAAAGTGTGTGAAGCTGATGTATGATGTTTTGTCTGCAATAGTTTGAGGTATGAACTCAGCAACCCAGTCCTACACATTAGAAAGAATGTAAAATCTACTGGCAGGACCTCAGCTGATGCATGTTTTTACTTGGAAGGAGCTCACGAGATTTTACTGTAGCATATCTTCTAAAACCATATCATAGTTGGATAGTATTTTTCAATACTCCTATACTATGGCAGCATTTCCCTTCTTGTTTTGCTAGAATATGGTCAATGCATCAATGTATTCAGAGGTTTGATTTCTGTTTTGCTTGTAATCTGTCAGCTGGAATATAAATGAAGAATACTGCATTCTGTATCCGGCATTCAGCCCAAGGCCTAGCATACAGGGTACAGCATTTTTGTAATAATTGACCTTTGCTTATCATCATCTTTAATTTAGTCAGGACTTCATTGTGTCCTTTATTAGAAAATGTCAATTTTTTTCAGGACTACTACTGTTTACATTCTTTTTTCACTCTTCCTCCTATCTTCTCTTTCTCTTCTTCTATGTGCTGGTTCCTTGTGTTTTCAGTAAGGACTATCGTACCTGACAATAATGCTGATGCTACCCAATTCCCCTCTCCAGTGTCCTCTTCACTCCAACCTCATACCATGCTTCAGTGATCAACTATGGAACAGTATCAACATTAGGTTTTATTGATAATTCTTCAGTCAGGTGGCTGGCAAAGGAGGGTTAAGTATTTCTAGAGCTATTTTCTCTGAAGACGTTCTTGTATTTGTCATACTTCGTTCACAGTTGGAAGTTTCAGAACTGTGAAAACTAAAGTCTTTTTTAAAGGAAAGTTGAGATTCTACAAAATAAAGGTATAACTAACTTCACTTTATTCCTCCTACACCCCTGTCAACCTCTCTTCATAGTACTTAAAATTTTCTGGACCTCTGCCCTATGAGATGCATACATATATTTGTGCACACCATATAATTTATAATGAATTATCCTAATAAATACTTGAGAAATAAAATGTTTTAAAAATTATTTAAGACAGTGAAAGCTTTATTATGATAATTCATTATAAATTTAGAAGACTAGAGAGCTACTGCTTTTAACATCTACCATTTGCTTTTTTATCCAGCTTCATTAAATTAGATAAATTTGGAACTAGTGCTCTTCTGCTCTTTTCAGAGTACTGTCTTCAACAAAATTGCTTTGTACACAGACATAGTAGAGAGTACTGTTAGTACGGAGCAATGTTCCTGTTGAATGATAGAGTTGCATAACTTGTGAAAGACCCTTAGTCAGCATTATAGCTATTTCTATTAGAGAAAACAAGTAATTAAATAAAGGATAGGGAAAGTCAGAAAGTCAGTTGCTACAGGTAAATAGTTAGACTTATCCCACCCACAAAAGGGTTTTTTTTTTTCCTTACAATTGTCTGCATGTTAAAAGCAGCATATCTATTCATAGCGTAGCTCCTGAGCTGACCTGCAAGACCATTCACTTCTTTCCTGTGTTCTGGTGTTGTAAGGAAGAGATTAGCCATGTGACAGTGGCACAACTGAAGAACATCTAGGAATAGGCTGTACTGACCCTGTTACCACTGTGTTGATCCCTTAACTGTTATGTTCTATCTAGTGGCTTACAACTGGTTTATCCTAGATTGTGAGTACTCTGCTTCAGGTACATTCCTTTCTGCATATTTGCGCTGTGTATAGCA